AATTAGGCATAGAAGTAACAAGGTCGCGCTCAATTTGCATTCGCAATAAAGTCCTCTTTGATCCCAGCCAGCCAACTAGCACGCGATCTATTTTAAATCAGGGTGGTTAAACTCGCATGCACTTCCAAGGCCGTCCCACAAGGTGCGACTCCTGCAGTTCTGCAGCCTGCAGCCTGCAGCTCAGTCGACTGGCGACGAAGAACACGTTGGTCGCTTGAGTACCGGTAGAACGGCGCGATCTTCGCATTTGGAGTGCTTTTTGTAAACGAAAACTATGCTGATGGACTGCGGTAGTGCAAAGTGATTTATTTTGAAAAGTTGTGCTCGATGAAGTGCGGTGGATTAGTGAGGGTTTTGATGCAAGGTAGCAAAGCAACTCAACTCGAGTGGGAAAGTGAATAATCACTCTTTTAAGTGTCCTTATAACGATCTGAATTCCGGCTCTCGGTTGCCGTAGGCGTCTTTCGGCGTAAACATATCATGCCATCCGTTGTAAAAATGCTAATTTGCTATTATTTAACGTCTCCTTTCTTGGAGCATGTTATGGGATTTCAAAACTACTGATTCAAGATTCTTCGCAGTATTTTAAAGGGTTTCAAACGCTTATATGTGAATATTTCAGTGTCTTGTGTGTTTTTCTCCACCTCCAGTCTTATTGGGTTTTTGTGTGGAAATTGATTCGTTGTGGCGTGAATAAGTGTCTTAACAAAAAAATCTCTAGCATTCAGCTCAGACGATTTAGGTGGCCAAATGGTTGTACATTTGAGATATTTCGGTTACGTTAAATTACCCTGAGCTTTTGCATATTGGTGAGTAGCCGTAGAAACGTGTGCCAACCAAATTTTAATAAAATTGCCACACTCAATTTACGTTGATTGCGCCATTATAAAATGATAAATGTTGTGGCGTTCGATTGATAAGTGCAGCCGCAATTAGCCGTATACATTTTCCATATTCCGATATATTGCGGTTTAATTTGCCAACTAATTAATTGCCATCAAATTAATCGAATGTTTCACTTCAGAGCTATGAACAAAGATATGGGTGTCGCCAACAAAGGAAACGCTTTGCTGGTCGATGACTCAGCTCCCCAGTTCTACAAGAATAGTCTCATTCAATTGAAACAGAAGTGAAAAGAAAACTGGTTTCAATTTCAGTCAGTGGTTTTAAGAACTCAGATTTACGAAAGTTTCTTGATTAAATTCTTAATGTTTTCTGGATATTTGCCGAACTCTGTCATACGCCCCAGAAACTAAATTATCTAGTTTCATCAATTCTTCAGCTGCGGCTTATTAATGCGACCAGATTAAGTTGCGGTTAAAAATTAAAACATTTCATATTAACCGTAATTGAGCCTGTAGAGTTGAAATCCCAACTAACCACGCAGCGATTTGCAATGATTCCATCAAGTCCTGACAGGTCGCGGTTAGCGTTCGGTTAAGCAGGAACATCTTTGGGACAGTTCAAACAGTGCGAATTGTTTTGGCAACGAGTTAATTTATGCAGTGTTGTGTGTTTTCTATTCCAGTAATATTTTGGAGCATTTCTTCGGCGCAATGTTGAGGTAAACCGTCACAATTAGTGCGAAGAACATTAAGGTCGGGCGCTAAATTACTCACAGCCCCTCAAAGGGTCCATAAGGAACAAGTTGGGTGTCCATTCGGGGTTTCAAAGGGCCCCCCATCAGCCATTAAACCTGCATATGGAATTAGAGAGTGGACCCTCGACCTCAAAAGGGCCCCAAAACTTGGCGGAGGAATTTATTTCAATTTGCACAAACTTGAACCATTTGTGGTGCTTTGTTGAAATTATCTTGATCGTACACTAATGAATTCTGATGGATTTCGATTGTTAGTGGATGTTTGATGGAACAGTCGCAGTTCAGTGATCAGTTCAGTGTTGTTGTGGGATAAAAAGTGTGCAAGATGATGATCACGAGATTCACTTCGATTCTGATGCAAACAGCCGGATATGGAGGTGACTCTTATACGTTTTTTGAGTAAGTTTTGTGCGGTAGATTCATTAAAGAGGCGAGCAAATTGGCTCCAAACCGTTCAAGTAAACGATTTCCTTGTAGGTTCTTTGCCTTTGACTAGAGGTTTATAAGCTCAAAGGTTCTACCGCAACCTGTTTGTTCTTTAATGGAAATCAAGTGTTTTCAACTGCTAAACGAATTTTCTATAATTGCGCTGAAAATTATGATTATGGGCATTTTTTCTTCAAAAGCATCTGCC